GCTACTTCAGGGTTTCATAGGATGCTGTGGTTTTACAGTGAATGCTGAATCATTGAAATATAATAAATGACTATTACAGTATGCATTGACACTATTTTCAAATTCTTGGAAACTTAATTTTTAGAAGAGTATTTGTTTCTGTAAACATAATCTGCATTGTGTAATACTGCACAGGCACTCCTCCTGTTAGTGTGAAAACATAACAAGTAATATTCTTTAAAAATAGCAACTCTGGGATTATTTTTAAAAGCAAAATAGTTAATAGTTCTCATATCTTAAATGCACTCCACATAACTATTTCTTATATATTCTTCAGGTTCTGCATGAAAAATTACCTACAAGGCTTTTAGATTATTTCAAGGCCTAGGAAAATGTATGGTTAGGCAAAATGTATCTTACTATGGTCTGAAGAAATGTGTCTTAACAAAATAAAACTTCCTTACAGGAGGTAAGATAGTAATTTCCCAAAGTCTTTATAAATCAAACTTTCTCACAGGTCTGTACTACAGATTTTTGTGCAAGAGGAAGATGACTTGGGACATTATTTAATTATCTATTGTTACTTTAATTTGTCTTCTGCAGTTTTTTTCTTGTGCACTGGTCTTAGATAAGCGACGCTACTGATTACTGGCAAATAGGATTAAAAATCTTTCAAAACAAACAATTCTTTTTCTCTTTGAAATCTAGTACTGTCAGGAACACAGTAGTGATGCTCTGATTTGATTTCCAGAGGTACAAGAAGTTATCTACTTTGTCTATAACAACACTTAGTATTTATAATGAATGAAGTTCAAGAACCTTCAGCTGAAACGGCTTCTAGATACTCCATAAGAGGGCTGTCATGGTTTTGGGGTTAACTGTATCTGAATCTTGCTGGTCACTTTTATTGCCAACAGAGGCCTGAACCTCAAGTGAGGTGACTTCTTTTCTGAGGTAGAAATTGCATGGTTCTCTGAATCTATTTGGGCTGGGGTTAGAACTTCCTTAGCTCAACCCCTGTTATTTCAGTAACTCGGAAATGTCTGCCAGCAGCAAAGGGGATATTCCTCCACAGAGTGCTGCTAGTGTGGAGTGATGAACTGGCATGGGTCTCCAAAAGTTATATTTTGGAGAAAACAGATAGCAAGGTAATTGATTTGCAGAGTTTATGGAAAGGAAGGAAGAAGAGCTAAGTCCATTAAATTGAAATGTAAAGTTGAAGTAATTTTTTTTTCCTAGCTGAGAATTATTTTGAATTTTGAGAAGAGTGAAATTCAAAATTCCATTTGCAGAGCTTTTATCACTCTGTCTGCCAAGTCACCAGTAGTGAACGCTTGGCATGTATGGTGTTTGGCATACATGAGTCAACTGTTTTTCCTCCAGCATTTTTTCTTCCAAAACTACCGTTTGAGTATTCCTGAAGGAGAGTTTCATTACTTAATGTGTAGTAATTCACAGATCAAAGTACATATGTATGTAAGACAAAAGTAGACTTAATATGTGGAAACTCCAAATGTAGCAAAACCAGTGAGGAAGGAATTCACATGGATAAAACTGAAATAGTTGGCTTTTTTTTTTTAAGTTTCAATTCCTATTTTCATTATTTAAGATGTGGCTTATTTTCGCTTTGCTTCCATGAAAGAGGGTTATTAAAGCACAATAGTCTAGAAATAGCAATAGAGGTATTAACTGGTTTGAGTCTTGTCATGTGAGAATAGGATATGAGGTCAATTAGTAGAGTATTCATATAATGCTTCTCAGCTCAACTTTGAAAGCTCTTAACCATGCTATCTGCTCAGTGGAGCGGGGAAAAGGGATTTGGTGGTTTTGGTTCATTTTTTTAACATTTTTAACTTTAACTTTTAGTTTGGTCTGCAGTTACAAATGCTTCTTTAATCTGGCTGCTTTTTTTTTTCCTTTCTTTCAACCTTAACAAAAAAGGACAAAGTTTGAATGCGCCTAAAGACAGAAGAACTATGCTGACTGTTTTTCAGTATGAAGACTTGTCAGCCTTCAAGCATGTGAAATTATAGCTACAAATAACAGCATTCAACCTATTACGTGAATGAATTAGAACTGGGAATATTACATTTGCCAGTTGAGTTCCATTACGAGAAACCTTGCTTACTTTAAAGTGTGACTTCTTCATGCTTTTTTCTATGTTTTCAGCATATTTTACATTTATTTCTTTAATCAGCTTATGAATTGTTTGGTTAAGACAACCAGTTAAAGACAGGGTAAAATGAGATACTACTTCTGCTGACTGTGGTAAGGCATTTCCTATTATATGTTTAGGTAAAGGCTTTTAGCTCCTCTAAACTGTTTAGGTTACTTAATTCTCTGCTAGTAAAGAAAACAGCAAAACTCTTAAGCCTGTCATTCAACTTTACCGAAAAACATCATCTTAGACACTGAATTATGATAAGTGTTTTCAAACAAGAAATCAAACCTGTTGTAGTTTCAGGAGTAGAAAGGAATATTTGTGAAAGAACCATTTCAGGCATAAAACTTGAATCTCTGTGCAGCACTTCATCCTGTTGTACCTGCTAGCTTCATGTGATTACATTTTAAATGATGTTTTCCCCGTCCTTTTTCTAATTCTAGTGTGCCTCCTGTGGCAGAGTGGGCGGTACCTCAGTCATCGAGACTGAAGTACAGACAGCTGTTCAATAGCCATGATAAAACAATGAGTGGACACTTAACAGGTATTGGAGCAGTTTTTGTTGTCTTGGTTTTTTGAACTGTAAAAGGCCAATTATAATAGCATTTAGAATGCTATTCAGATAGTAAGAGACTATCTGACTGACTGTTGCCAGTGTCAATATTTTTCTGTTCAAATCTCCCAACTGCTTAATGATCTTGTTTAGAAGCAAATATTCATCATAGCTGGGATCATTTTATCACCTTCTTTCCTTTATTTTCTGCAAAGTAAGTTGGCACTGGGAAATGATTCTTGGAAAGGGTACAATGGGTTGTGTGAAAACTTGTGCAGCCATTTACAGTGTTCAGTTCATCCACTGATGAAAGTGCCTATCCAGTTTCGGAAACAAACTAGAATGGTACAGTAGCTTAGTTTTACTAGTTCTGGGAGCATCTCTTTGCCTTTCATAGCTTGGTTTTTTTTAAAAAAAAAATCTGAATGATTGTTGTAGAGAAGGGAAGGATTATGTATAATTTTTTTTTAATTATTTTTTTTTCATTTGGGGGGTGGGAGGAGCCTAGTTCATGCTGATAACATCTCTTCAGTGTTACGGTTTTAGAACTAAGCTATGCTTGTGCAGGAGCTACTTGGTAATGCAAGAAATGGAGAAAGCTGCTTATTTGTTTGTTAATCCTTGTTTCGCTTTGTTAGGTCCTCAAGCAAGAACTATTCTTATGCAGTCAAGTTTACCCCAGGCTCAGCTGGCTACAATATGGTAAAAGTAAATCTATTAATTTTCATCAAACTGGAAACTGTACTTAAATATCTATACTGTACACTGTGGGATTTTTCTCCCTTTTCATTCTCCCTCCATGGATAAATCATTTTACGTTGCTCTTTTTAATGTATAACTTTATAAAACAAAACCTGCACTGCTATGATTATATTAGTATTACTTCACAAAAGTAAAATAGAGCATCTTTTATGCTATGATTATATTAGTATTACTTCACAAAAGTAAAATAGAGCATCTTTTATGCTGTGCACATAGATGCTTTGTAAGTTGCGTTTCAGTTATGGAGTTTTTAGGCAGACCAGATGTTCAGCCTCCTATGTCTTCCACATCTCTAGCCATATGTGATACAGCACCAGTGAAACTTATACATCTGCACAGGTAGTACAAAAGGAAGCTTAATCCAGAACCATACTTTCTTTGGGGCTTGTCTGCCTTTTATGTAGGTTTCTAAGGGTTTATTTCCAAGGGATTGGAATTACATACATTTAAAATAATGGATTTTAAAAGGATTTGTCCCAGCTTCACTTTTTCCTTTCAGCTTCTTGTTTGCTGAAGTTTATTATGTTCTTATTATCACATGGAAAGTTGTTTCTAATTAACTTCTGTATAAGTCTTTGCTTGAAAACCATTGTCAACTCACTAACCCATCTGACTTCTGTGTGAGGATGTCAGCTGTGTTGTCTCTCTAATGTGGCAGCTCAAGTGCACTTGCTTTCTTTGCTAAGCACTGATGTTTTTGTTACATCTTAAAAAGCACTCTCTCCTTCTCTGTTTCCTAACAAAGCTACTGTAAGGAAAAAAAAAATCAACCCAATCATCCAGCAGATGATTAACCAGAAAATACTCCACTTGTTGCCAGCATTTAAGTAGGTTGTGTGGGCAGGGGAATGACGTCAGTGTATTGCAGGAGTTCTAACCATAACTCTTCTAGTTTTTGACATGCAAAACTGCCAAGTTGATTGAGAGAAGGGATCGATTTTACAGCTTTTGTTGTCCTGAGTATTGCTCCCTTTCCTGATACTTAATCTCTGGCAGCTGAACTGCTGTTGCTGTTCTCTAGGTTAAGATTTGTCAGTCTGTATTGGAATTGGATTCACTGACTCACAGGCACACAAAGTGAAGTACTGATACACAGCCTGTCAGCTATTCTGTAGTAACTCTTTCGGTATTTCCTTGACAAAGGTGTGGACCCAGAGTGTTAGGACAGCTGATCAGTTATATCTTTACTTACTAGATTTTCATTCTACTGGCTTGTTCTTGTGCCCCAGCCTGAGGAGTCCAATAACACAAAACATGGGTCAAATGAGGTAATAATTGTCTTCCAAATGTAAATCCAATAAACAAAGTCTTGTACTTAGAGACATCAAAAGCATGTATCAGTTGCTTACCTTTGATTTTCATGGTATCACGGGAGATTTTACTGCATGATTAGAGTGTAGCATGCTAGAGAAACAAAGTTGATGTTTAGGCTGTTAAATTTTGTCCAATACCACCTTAACATGAATATAAGCCTTTTGTGCATCTGTTGGAGTGCTGGTTTTAGGCCAGCCAGAGATGTTACTCTGTAATTTTTAATACGTGCATAATGCTAAGATGTTTTTGTGCTTGTCAGGACTAGAATGTAAATGGCTTTGATTTTAATGCAAAAGTGTACTCTGGAATACGAGGTAGGAGCCTCCAGGGAAGGAGGAGACCAAACGAAAAAGTTCTACCAAACATCTGAGCTGATACTTTTCTAAATGATACTGTATAATGGATGTTCAAAAGGTGTTCAAGAAAACTCCATTGATTAATGCTACTTATATAGCATATGGTACAGGCAGCACTCAAAGAGCAAGTGAAGTAGAAGCCATGGCTATAAGGATAGTTTCAAGGCAGACATGCATGAAAAATGTAGGAAATAGTGAAGCATTTGATTTTTGCTTTTTATTTGTTTCGAAGAAACAAAGTAGTGTGAAAAAAATCTTGAAAAATTGAATTAATTTGGAACTGAATATGTTAAAACTATGCTTTTTAACAGTGATTTTTAATATTTAAGAATTTACCTACTTTGTACCTTCCCTTTAAAAAGGAATCTTTCTGATATTGATCAAGATGGAAAACTTACAGCCGAAGAGTTTATTCTGGCTATGCACTTAATTGATGTAGCTATGTCTGGTCAGCCGCTACCACCTGTACTGCCTCCAGAGTATATTCCACCATCATTTAGGTAACTGGTTATAATTCTGGAATCTTGCTCCTAAATTTTTATTTCATTTGGGAAAGCTGTCCTGTGAGTATAAAGTACAAGAGGTTGAAAAGCAACCCCTCTCGTTTTTGGACTGCATCCATGGAACAGAGTACCTTCTTGTTGGGAAATGCTTGTCTAGATTTTTGGTTTTATTACAAGTACTGGATGCTGGAAGTAGCAAGAATTCCCTGTAAGAATATGATTTTGATCAATGTTTTATGCTAGCATACCTTCCAAAAGTTACTCAGTCTGGCCATATAAATTTGAAGTGTTACAGCTCCAGTTTATACTTCTGTAGAGCAAATGGGATGTATTCGAACTTGAAACATGCTATGAATTTACAGTGTAGCAAATCAGATATCTTTTAGTACCTGTGAATAGTAGTGGTGAGTCATTACGTCTGTTTTGCTCTTTCACAGTTTTGTGGAGAAATGGGTGGGAAGACAGTAACAGCAATGGAAAGAAATTTTTGCATACAAACATAGCTTCATGTTCTTTAAGTATCTTCCAGAAGATTACAAGTTTTTTGTTTATTCTGTGTGGGGTCTTGTTTTTACCTTGGCTATAGCAAGCTCTTCCTCTGTCTTCGCAACTTCTGCTATAGTTTTAAGTCGGCATTTTCCCAACTTCAGACTGGTCACAAGTAAGAGATCTTGGGGACAGGGCTGGACACATCTGTAAGTTGCCTGGTGCTGTGAACTTTGAACTAGGTTTCTCAGGGCACCAGTGTGTTGGGGCTGTTGGGATTCTGGAGGAGACTGTTATCTTAATGGCAATGGCTGAGTAAAATCCTCTGGGCAACACTGAGGGAACACTGAATATCATTAAACATTACATCATTGCATTTAATTTATGATTTCATAATTAAATCATAGATAAATTTGGCAAGCATGGGTTCTTTTAAGCAACTTGGAATTATCGTTTTATTGACAGAAGAGTACGCTCTGGTAGTGGCATATCTGCTGTAAGTTCAGTATCTGTAGACCAAAGGTTACCAGAAGAACCAGCATTAGAAGAAGAACAGCAGCAACTGGAAAAGAAATTACCAGGTAAGCAAGTAAAAATAGATATATTATGTGCTGTTATTAGAGAGATGTTATCATCAGGTTATATGCTGTGGAGTTGTTGTGGCTTATGAATAAATGTTTTCTTTCTAGGTCAGTTTATGATGTGTCAGAGGTATAACCAAGACATTGCTTGGTCCAGCTAATTCCTGACTGTTGCATGATCCTTTGTGTTAGTGACAATGGAGATACGAACAACGTTCAGGTTGCTTATCTTATGCGCCTTCAACAGAGGCAGCACTTTAGAGCCCTATTACAGGCCTGTAATGAAAATTTTTTACTACGTCCATCTTCTGACTTAGGTGGAGTGCAGTTTGGCTTATGTACTCTTCAAAGGTCACAATATACATGCTAGATATTATGAAACATCTTAACACTTCTGATCATCCTCTCGCTCTTCTTCGTGCTTTCATTACTTTTTCTCTATTTTATTCTAAGATGACCAGAATGGCACACAGTTGAAGATGTAGCAACATGACAGATTTATACAGTGCCATAATAATGCTTTTATGTTTTGTTCTAAAGTATTTTTCTTTTTTTTTTGTTTTTTAATTGATTCCTAGCACTGTATTGCCTCTTTGATCACAACTTAGATCTGAATTGGTGTTTTAGAAGACTTTCCATGGTAATGCCAACAGCCTTCCACAAATCTGTTAACCATTTTAGAGCTCATGACTGTGTGTGTTTAGCAAGGATTATTTTTATTCTCCATGCACACACTACTCTGTATTCATTAACATTTGAATTTCCTCTGCTTCTTCATTACCAAGTCACTCATTTTTGTGAGATTCTTCTAAAGCTCTTCACAGTCATGTTTTTATTTTAATACCGTGACTATCCAGCATCGTCTCTAGAAGCTGTCTTGTTACTTTTCAATCTCTTCCAGATCATTGTTGCACACTGAACACCACAATTGCTAGTAGAGATCTTTGAAGGAGGCTACTGAGAATCTTTCTGTCATTGTGAAGTTGGTAATTTATTTCACCTCTTAATTCTAATCTTTTAGCTGTTTGTTAATTCTCAAGGACCTTCTGTCTCTTTCCATACCAGGTTAGTTCAGGAGATCTGCATGTGAGCAATTCAGATACAACTCTTGTCTTTGGTTTGTATTTTATAACTAAGAGCTGCTGGCAGTCTGCTGGGTAATTCCTGGCTATAGGAGAATGAAGGGAAGTAGCAGGGACTGCTGAAGCAGACCTCACTGAGCTCTCGCAATGAAATGTTTGGTTGCAGGTGAGATATAGCTCTCCTGTGTTGGCTCTTTGAAGCCTAATTCTTCTGTCTCTGGAATCAGAAGATTTTGGTATGCAGTTTGGAGTGCCAGGAAGGTCAACCACTGCCTTGGCTTCGTTTCTTTATTAGACTTCGAAATCCCGCAAGTATTCTTCTGTTGACTTGATCTTCTTTTTCAACTTGCTTATTCATACAATTGGGTCTATTAGACTTGAGAGACAGCTCTTTCCTGCTTTGGTTCTTCCATGGTATCGTGTTTAGACATGTATACTAACTAACTCTCCGTATGTTGTAGCCTCTGCTACTTTGCCCAGCGTGGGAGTAGATGGACTTGTCTGTAGCTTTCAGGATCATTCTATTATCTTTTCTTAAAGACCAGTGTTGCACTTGTCATCTTCTAGTCTTGCAGCACTGACGTTGATTAAAGGACAGATTGCACAGCTGGCAGTTCATGAATTTTGTTTTTGAGCTATGGATTAGCATTGTCTGGGTTTGGCAAGCTGATGCTCTTTATTTTTTGGTTTTATTGTTTTAAAGCCATTTCTGCTTTCAATTAAGGAGGAACTAGAGTGTATAAGCCTTTTACTGTATTTGATATATAGATTTTCCATCATAAAGATCACTTATAATAGTGAATGTCATCTTGCTTCTTCATTGGCTTTGCTAAATCTGGCTAGGTGTTGTTTTTTTTTTTCTTTTGAGACATTTGAAAGAGTTTTTATTGTTGGCTCTTGTAACCTTTTAGAAGCTTTTCCTTATGCATAATGACACAAGCCAATAGCTACTTATTTAATTTACTGGAAGTTGTTCTCTTCTATTTTGGTACTCTGGATATGCTTTGTTTTATCATCTCTGGTAGCTACCTTGATTTTGCTGAGTAAACACACTAGCTTGTTGGGCAGCCATCCTAGAACCTGGTGTTTCTTCTTAGGGCTATGTGTTTTCTGAGCCTTGAACATGGTATCTTAATGCCCATCCTACTTGCAAGTGTTTTGCCCTTCTGCCTATTCCTTTTAACGGACTTTCTCAACATAAGTATTTTTTTCTTTCTTTTTTTCACCTTTTTGTTTTGTTTCCTAAATCAGTGGGAGTTATAATCATGTTCTTTGTCTATCAGTCTGTATTTTAATATTCTTTGAACCCAGTGGCTAATTTTAAACAAACTTGACAGACATTAAAGTGGTTACATTTTTTCAAGTTTTATGAAAATTGGTGATGGGCAATAGGAAAAGGGGCCAAACTTAGAAAAGGACAAGAATTCAACTGATTCAGCAGATGCTGGGCCAAACAGTTAGTGTGTGCACACTTTGGAGTAAATATGTGCTATCTCTTGGCTTGACTTGCATGCCAAAAATGTACATGTTGGGCATGCGGGAAGAGAAATACAGGATATGGGGTATAGGAATGGGACATGTAGGGTGTGAAAAGAAACAGAAGGTGAAGTGGAAACAATAATTTGAAGGAACTGTGAGGGAGGGGCCTAGGAATGTGGAACAGGGGAAGAACAGAAGAATGTCAGGGAACCTGTGCTGGAACGGAGGTCATTCTTTTAGGACAGTAAGTGATGAGTATGCAAATCTGCAGGAATCCAGTCTTTCTGAATTCAGCTGCTCAAGAACTTAAGCAAGCCATTTCCTTTCCTGATGGTAATGAGTAATATCAAGTTTAAATACTTCCAGGTCATTTGCATAATAGCTTTTTGATAATATCATCAGCTGAATTCTTTGCCTTGTAGTAATTGAAGTGTTGGTTCTTGTGCTGCTACTATTATCAAATGTGTAGAAGAACTCCAGATCCTGTGCCCTCGCGTAGGATTAGCTGGTGAATGGCTTGTCTAAATTATACCCACTTGTTGGGCTTTGTGGAGAAACCTAGAAGCCTGAGGAATGGAAACTGAAATTCAGACCTTGGTTTCCTAAGGATACGGGTTTAAGGGGATTTACAATATAAATGCTAATGATGAAACCTGAAATTACCTATAGAGCTATATTATCAGTGGTTGAGAGCTGTATCTAGTACTGTTGGAAGGTTGTTTCACTTTGATTCAACATAAATGGATTACTTTTTTTGTGTGTGTGTTAAGTCAGTAGCAGATTTTAATTCTCCTTTGCCCCATGTTTCCACACATTAAAGTTACATTTGAAGATAAAAAACGGGAGAACTTTGAACGTGGCAATCTAGAACTTGAAAAACGGAGGCAGGCTCTCCTGGAACAGCAACGCAAAGAACAAGAGCGTCTAGCACAGCTGGAACGGGCAGAGCAGGAGAGGAAAGAACGTGAGCGGCAGGAGCAAGAACGTAAAAGACAACTGGAGCTAGAGAAACAGTTGGAAAAACAACGGGAATTGGAACGACAGAGAGAAGAGGAAAGGAGGAAAGAAATAGAAAGAAGAGAGGTAACTGGATAAAAGGAAGGTGGTTATGTCAGTAGCAACTGTGTTTGATTAGAACAAAATGTAACATGTACGCTAGATATTTTGCTATCATTTTTTAGTAAGGAAACATTTGAAGAATGAACTTAGATTTCTGAGATTTCGAAGGTAAGGAAAGAGTCAGCTATCTCTTTATTTTCATGTGAAATGAACGGATGAGACAGTTAGAACTAGGACAGTGTGTTCCTAACCTCTGACTTCTTTAAAAATAATAATTATTATTATTTTCTTTGATATAAAGAGGTGCTTGAATGAATGAAGAAAAACTTATGGACATTGGTGGCATTCATGATTTTGCTGTGATGAGTTAATTTATTAAAGAGAACACATACTGATTAACTTAAAAATTAATTTTCTCACATTGCCAAGTAATGATGCATTCAGTGCATTTGACTATTCTGTGCAAAGCTGCAGAATGTCTAATGTTGGAGGTTGGAAAGAGATTTGATGCTATCCTGGAGAATTCTTGAAGTCTTAATATGAAACAACTTGTTACATCAGAAAATTGGATCTTGGGAAACTGATTAAGATGGGTTAATAGTCTGTTTAGTCACCTGCCTGCTATACAGTGAAGCCCCATTTCACTAGAGCTTTCAAATTAGCATTTAAAATATTCAGCAATTTGTATGCTTAAGTAGAGGCACAAATTTACTCCACAGTTTAGCAGTGTGTGTATATTAATGTCTTAATTGCACATTAGAATATGAATATCAGCGATTAGAATAGTTTCTCAAAATAGATTTTATTTTTAAATGCTACAGGCTGCAAAACGGGAACTTGAGAGGCAACGGCAACTTGAGTGGGAGCGTAATCGTCGGCAGGAACTACTAAATCAAAGAAACAAAGAACAAGAGGACATAGTTGTTCTGAAGGCAAAGAAGAAGACCTTAGAATTTGAGCTGGAAGCTCTAGTAAGTGATCGTGTTGCAGATAAAACACACAAGCACAGTAGTGACTGTAATATGGCTATGTTTACTTTCTATAATTTAAATGTGGAATAAAAGTACTTTTTGGATCCTGACTTGCATGACAAACCATTCTGGTAAAAAAGAGAGATATTTTTCTTTTTTTTCCTGAAGAATGATAAAAAAAATCAGTTGGAGGGAAAACTTCAGGATATCAGATGTCGACTGTCTACCCAAAGACAAGAAATTGAAAGTACAAATAAATCTAGAGAACTGAGAATTGCGGAAATCACCCATTTGCAACAGCAGCTGCAGGTGAGAAAACGTTCTCTAATTTTGTTCTTAGCCTTGCATTTTGACCTCCTCAACTGCATCAATATCCTAGGCAAACTTGCCACAACACATGATGTGTTGTTCCTTGTACCTAAGGAATCGTTGTAGATAATTTATCATTCTTTTAAATGAATGTTCTTCAGACATGTCTAGGAATTGCTTCCTGCACTTGAGGTGTGTCTGTGATTATCATTTCATCCTCATGGAATCCTCTGTGGGGAGCAGTAAATAAATTGTTTGGCTGAAAATGTTAAAGGGTTTAGGGGAATGACGAGAATGAAATTTTATGGCATGTGTTTTTGTTGGCAGTGATTGCTGCTTGTGTGGTGAAAGAAAAAATTTACTTCAATGAAGTGGCTAGTTGATGATGCCCTTTTTGTTTTTTAATTATAAAATAATCATCTTTCAAAATTGAGGTTACCAGTTAAACCAGTTAGTTCTTGGTCTAACCCTGGCATTTGTCTTTCCTACTTCTCTATCTAAAATTCTCTGTCAAATTAAAGATGGAATTGAGTAGATGTCTGCTCTTAGTGAAAGAACATTCTCTGCAATTTGTAAAGGTTTCTAGATGAGTTGTAGTGTTTGATTTAGGGATTTTTCTCTTTATTAAATATTTTATGTTGCTTGAAATGAATTCTTGGCTAGTAATGGGGGTCTCAGTGCTTTTTAACCACTACAAAGAGAATCTCACACATACGAGAACTTACGTGTAAAACCTATCTTAAAACCTGATCCTACTGTTCCATTTCAACTTTCTAAGCATAATTAATATAGTACATTCATTTGAACAAAACAAAAACTTGAAAGTTCAGGTTTTTTGTTGTATGTATGAGTATTTTTATTTTTTTTTACTTCTTAAAACATCTGACATTTCTATTGAAGTTTTGTGTACACCATTACACCTTTCACAAGACCTCTTTCTTTTGGCAGCAGCTTGTTATAAAGAGTATAATTTAGAGATCACTTTCTTTCACAGTGTTTGTGTCCACTTGATACAAACAATAGCAAACAAGAAGTGCTACTAAGGGACGCTTATGACATAAGCAACGGTCATAGTTAGGCTTGAAACCACTCTTCTCTCTAGTGAAATGCTGCTGTATTGGTAACTGAAAATGAAGTCAAACAGTATTGAATCAAATGTAGGAAATGAAGTTACACTTAGCGGTACTGGCTCAAAGAGACAAAAAACTGACTATGCTTGATAAAAATGTGTGAAAAAGCTCCCATTTACTTGAATAACTTAAAGACTACTGATTTTATGTGCACAGCCAATCTCCATGTAAAAACAACAACCACTTGAATTTCCCTCTAACCCTTCTATTCCAAAAGCTTTCCATAGAAGTGGTCTAAGGTACTGTAGCTCACTTCAGAAGAAGTGAAGCAGCTACATAGCTATTGATAGATAAATACTATTTCAACAGTTAAATGGAATACATATCCTACTTTCATATGTCATTTCTGTTAACTTGATAATTTTTGTTCAGTTAGCCTCTGTAGTCAGAAAAGATAAAGTATCTCTTTGCTTTAATCATAATATGACAAATTAAGGAGGAAAAAATGATATGTTGCAATAAAAAGTTGTAAGTCATTTATGTTACAGTAAAGACCAATGTGCTATAGTTGGGATAGGGTCCTGTTATAACAGACATTGTAAAAAGAATGTGAGAAAATATCATTATTATCAAGAACTTGGAGTGAGCTTCCACAACTGGGTATAATAAATGGAAGGCACAGAGGGAAGAAAAAAATGTGAAACCAACACTATTGGGAAGCAAATAGTGAGAGAGGTAATCTGTCTACTAGTAGATGTAGTTAAATAGTTTATTAAAAAGTATTAGATAAACGAGAGGCAGTGTTCTCTGTAGACTCATTAACAATTTTTTTGAGTTTTTAATCATGTTCTTGGCTGATCGTAGATGTGCTTTTTCCTTACCTACAGCTTTTATGCATCGGTTTTAACTTTATCACCATGAAAGGAAAAATTAAGGAGAGCAGAGGGATTTTTGACCTTCCTAACATTTACTTTGTTCTACTTACTTCCCAATCACAATTGTCGAAAAGCAGATTGCTTTTTTGTGTGTGTGTATCTTCAGCATTTTGATGCCAGTCTGAAATTTTATTAAAATGTCAGGCAAAGTACAATGAATTTTGCACAGTTGTCTATATTTTACTCTTGTTTTGGAATCACCACTGTATTTGTAGTGATTTTTAACCATCTCTGGTCATTGTAATTGGTACTAGATGGTATGTATCCAGCAGCTTACTTTATGCCTATTCGCTTTCTAAATTGCTTCGTTCACAAAGACTGTAAGAGCACTTCTGTAATGAAAGTCAACCTTGCCTTTCTTGGTGGTTGTTTTGTTGGATTTTTGGTTTTGAGGTGGTTTTTGTTCAGGTTGACAGTGATAGCTGTGGCTTTGTGGTGTTATCTTCTCTCAGGTGATCATTGATCTCGACCACCAATATTTCAGTTAGTGTCACTTGAGACGTTTATCACAATTGTGATCCCAGAAAGGAGTGTCGCTACTTAGTGAAAAAGGCCAGATTTAATCTGGGGAGAACCTAAAAGAGGTTTTCCTGAAAAAAGATGAGTTTCTCAAATATCCTGTAAATTTTACTATTTAATTTGTAGAGGAAAGACTAAAGCAGTAGGTGACTTTTTTAAAAGGAGATTTTGATCCTCTTAACTCTCCAATAGATTGAAATGTCAATATTGTCAGTTATCTTTGTAGGATGTTATATCTTCACTTGGAAATATTTTAATTTAATGCATCTGACATTTGCTATGGAAAGATGAGTTAATTCAAAGGAGTAACTATTCTTCAACCTAGTAATTAGTTTCAGGATGGAGTTTGATTAAACTTGTGGAAGAGATTGTATAACAATTAATCCTGGGTGATGAAAATTTTTGCTAGTTATTTGAATCTGTGGTAGCTGGTATTTCCAGGGATGCTTGGAAGCATCCTGCCTTCCAAACACCTTAAATGTATGTGTTTGAATCATGTTTATACTGTCTGCAGGGCTTCTGCTAGTTACCTGCAGGGATTATTTGCCTCCTTGATGAACACTTTGGCTCCCAAGTAATTTGATTTTCCTCTGAAGCACTGGAAGCAGGATATGCAGCAGAGACTTAAGATGTATGGTGGTATCTCAGTTTCTCATAGTGTAAGATCAGAAGAGAACTTTCCCTCATTAGACTGACAGGAGCTGTGCTTTGATCGCTTTGTTTGCCTTCTAGTGCTAGATGGGACACTATTCAATTCTTAGAAATTTCTTGTTGCATGAAACTTCAGTGTTAGTGATGCCGTTAATTTCTTGCATCTGTTTCTTCGATACTGCTAAAGGATGTGCAAAAGTATGTTGTGGATGCTCTTGGAATAGATGCTTATTATGTGGTTGTCTGTGATTTCAGGAAACAGAACTTGACCCTCGTGATCCCTTGGCATTCTTGTCCTTAAATACTCTCCAAACTGTTTTGTGTATTAAGATTGAGTAGTCTGGAGTTTAGAAGTATTCTGACCTTTAAAAATAAACAGCTACGGTTAGGGTTACATTCCACCCTGAAATACTGTCCTATGTGACTTTTTGTGCTTGAAGAATGATAATTTTTCTGTAAATCCTGTTTCATTTTGTCATCCATTCTGCTATTCGGCTTATCTAAATGGTTTTTGAATTGGCATGATATAATTTTGATATCCTTATGTCTTGAAAGGTAATTTCCTTTCCTCTTTCTCTTGATCAATGCAACAGCAGTGAGGGACACATGTAACTTCTAATAGTCAAATGCATAGTTTATCTTAATCTTGATACTTTGTGAATTTATAAAGTCCTCGACTCTACTGTGCTAAGTACGTTTTCTGGAACATAAAGAGATTACAGTAGTCTACAGTCATTGCATAATCATAAGATCTGAGCTGTACACTGCAAAGGCCCAGTCAAAGACCGCTGTGAGTAAAGTGGGGCAACTATGAAATCATGTCAGTATGGTCAACCTTGTGTTCTTGTAACAAAAACTGAAAACCTTTTCTTGGGACTCACTCTGGTATTAAGTGATTAGGTGACACTTATTCTTAGGATCGTATTATGTGACTTACAATCCTTCATGACAAATTGAAATTGTCAGATGGTTGATTCCTTAAAAGCCTGCAATTCAAGACAACTGCTGAAGTAAATTACTTTATCTGAAAGACGGGGTGTTGACACTCAGGCGGCTTTTATAAAATAAGCTATTTCACCTCATGCTTCTATAATGTATTTTGACAACTTGAAATTGGAGGTCAAGGCTTCTGAAAGGTCTATGAAATAGCACTTCATCCTCCGGAAAGAACAAGGATTATGTATGAGAGAGAGATATATGATCCACCAAAGGAGGAATTTCTCGTTTGCAGGATCTCCTGTAAAGTATCAGGAGATTCTTATGACTGTGTGTTGAAATTGAGAGAGATCATAATCCTCTTTCAAGAGTGCTAAATCGAGAGATCTAGGACTCAAGTATTCTCATCTAACAGAGCTTGTGTTGCATGGCTTTTGGCCATAATCTGTTCCTTTAAAGTGAAAGCCTTTATTTTCTCTTCTTTAAATAAACTGTAAATATTTGTCTTTCTATTCCTGATCAAAGTTAATACCCATTTATTAAATGAAAATTAAGCAGTTAGTAAGTGCTTGTTTTAACATTTCCTGAAATCTGTCCTTATCTTTTTGCCCTGAATTTCAAGTAATTCCAAGCCAAGTTACATATTCGATGAGAATCAACTCTCAAGTACTATGCTTAAATTTGATATGCTCACTTTTTTGTACTGGCAGAGAACTATGTCTGAGTGGTGGTACAACACAGATAGTGCATAGATAATAGCAATAATACCTAATTTAGTGAGAGGAAAAAGTAAAGAGTCATTTCAGAAGAAATGAAAATGAGAGGTCTTACGGCTAAAGTCATCCTTCACTCAACTTTTTGTTTGTTTTTCTTGTTTTTTTCTCTCCTCATTGTCATCTATTCAGGAATCTCAGCAGATGCTTGGAAGGTTGATTCCAGAAAAGCAATTGCTTAATGATCAGCTAAAGCAAGTCCAACAGAACAGTTTGCACAGTAAGTATATCTTTGTACATTTGTATAGGACATGATCGTGCATTGCACAATGTACTCTGTAATTTCTTTTTTTGCATTGCAAGATGTGCGTAGAAAAATGTTGCTTTCTATGAGCTAAAATTCTCTGTGTAAGAAAATACTTATTTGACAATATGTTTAAAAACAGGAGATTCTCTTCTTACTATCAAAAGAGCCTTAGAAGCCAAGGAACTAGCGCGTCAGCAGCTTCGAGAACAGCTAGATGAAGTAGAAAAAGAAACCAGATCTAAACTTCAGGAAATTGATATTTTCAATAATCAACTGAAGGTAATCCTAGACTTTTTAACCTTTCTTCTAAGTGTGCAGTTAATTATTTTCTAACTTGTTTATAGAAAAAAATACTGAACTAGAATGATTGATTTAGAATGTCAGTTCTGGGAGAGTTCTCAAATTATTTTTTTAAATTTTTTTTTATTATTTAAAGAAAATACTACTTAGCATCCAAACTCAGAGTTTGAATCAACTTAAACTGCAGAATCTATTTAAGAAAAAAATTTGAGCTCTGATTCCGGATCTGTGATTGCAAATATGAAATTGCCAGTTTCTGCCCTTTTGCATCAAAGAAGTGCAAGACTGTAGTAGGTCAGCAGATCTGCTGGAATCAGTACTTCAAATTGAAATCTTTAATAAAGAGACTTGATTTTCTACTGACATGCAGAATTTTTATCTGCTCTTTGTAAGCTCATACTTGTTCCTGAATGTAGTTGTCTGTTGTTTGTGATTTCATACTCTATTGATCAGTCTTTTGTTAAAACTGTGTGATTTTTGTTTATTTCTGCACAAGAAAATGACAGAAATTGCAGAAGTCAGTAGAGGAAGTGTTCTTCAGAGAGAAGTTATGAATCAGTCTTTAGTTACAAACTTTTAATAGCATTCTTTTTTTCATAAAATATTCTAGTGTTAAAGTACTTTATCTACTAATTCAACTGATTGTTTCTCCTGAAAGCTGGCTATAAAAAATACTCAATTTCCTGCAAGGTATAATAAATTGTGCTACAAGTATTTAGAAGGAAAAGCACTGTGATAGATACATTAATGTTTCTGATAGTGTTTTGAAATTAGATCAACTATGATTACATCATATGCTTTAGGATGGAGACGTGTTTGAAGTTAAGCAACAAGTAGCTTGTTTTAATATTAAAGTTATTAATAATTATAGGAAAAATTAAAATATGTAGACCCTACCACTACCTATTTCAAGGCCAATTCAAAGATGACTTTCATGTTCTTAAGCAAGGAGCTGGAAAGGGGAGAATCTCTGCAGAGAGTCATACGAGACACAAGACAAACAAAATGTGCGCAATTTATTTTAAAGAAAACAGAATGATTTACCTCACTTTTTTTTTCATATATACTTTTTGGACACATTTCAATGTGTTGTGCTTTTTGGGTGTGGTGGTGTTTTGGGTTTTTTTTTAAATGGAGTCCTCTTGAAGTGTTTTGCAGATCAATATGGCCAGAGGATATTAATTCTAAAATTAGTGTCAGCATTTGATTTGATCATAAATGATCTAAACAGTTTATAAATGGGCAGAGAAGTGAATAATCTTAGTACTGTGACAGTAGCAAAAAACCCCCCTCAACCCCAAATCAAACAAAAATCACTATTTTAAATATTAAAGGGCTCAACTTAACAAATAACAAGCTAATGATAAATAAAAATTGAAGATGCACATTAAACAAAGACGTCAATTTATCAGAATGTCTGCCATCTATCCCTAATCAAGAATACCTTGACTAAGTATAAAATATTTTGCAGTTTAATGGGAAAACTGATTTCTGTGTTCAAGTCTTAGTATTTAGTTATTACTTTAAATGCTGAAAATTAGTTATGTAGATAGTTCTTTGGGAAGACTTCAGCAAGCTGCTTCTGGCTTGAAGATACTGTGTTCTTCATTTCATAATGTGTAGAAGCAGTGCTTAATAGGAAGACCCCTTTTTGATGCTGTGTTGATATTTTTGCCTTGCTGCAGCTTTCTTTGCTTTCTTGGAAGAAGTGAGTTTAAGAGGGGCAGTTGTACTATTGAAACTGAGAGATGGGAGCTTAATTCAGAGCAAGTTATATCTTCTCCCTTTTGTAGTTTCATTACATGTGCAAGATGTATTGGGGGGGACTGAATGATTTTATTACTAGATTTAAATATCTACAAAGGCTTATATACCTTTTTGTGGACTCAGTGTGGAATGGTTGTAGTATTTCCAGTGCCAGAGAAATGGCTTAGAAGACGCTGTGATTTAATGGCTGCTGTTTTATGGAGAGAGCTCTCGGAATGCCTTGCATGTAAGACTTTATGCACAAAGCTAGTGAAAGCTTTCCTGAGGCTGATGATTTTGTTAGGGTTTGTGTGAAGTGGAAGCTCTGCTCTTAAACCAAGGCAGAACACACTGATCTCTAAAGTAATAAAATTACTTAAAACAAAGTAGTCTAGGAACTTGCATAATTCTCAGATGTTTTTACCTAAAAAATCAAAAATCTGTGACAACTTTTAGAAACTGCCACTGGAAAGATGACTGTTACATTTGAAATAGGTAGAAAATGGCTTATAAATAATTGCTAAATTAATAGCTTCCCCAATTAACAGAAGAACTTTTTGTTTACTTACTAGTAGCTGGGTGCATAAATACAGAGGGGTCATTTGGTGCTACAATACCTTGTAATTTGTATAATTATCAGTCAACTGTGTAACGCGCACATTTAAATGTAAAACCTTTTCAAATAACATGTCAAAAATTGCACCAAATCTAGGCTCTAAATATAATAAAGTCTTCTTATCTTGTAAACTAAGGGAAAATATGTAAAGATGGGAAATACAGAAATGTTTATTTTTAAAATGTATTTTTATTAAATAAATGAATTAAAAACTCCATTTTTAATCGAGGCTGTTTCTAAATTGTCTCGTAACTTTAAAACTGAGAGACTTTTTTAATGATGATCTGCTCTTACTTTGTGCTTCGGTATAGTAACTGAGAGATGCACATTTGATGGGGTGGCTGTTAGGAAGGCAGCACTGTAATTGACAGTGTCTTGTGCAGCTTTTGTTCTCTTGACTAGTGATGGAGAGGCACTTGGTGCTTGCCTTGTCTTCTATAATACAACAGGAGCAGTATGATGTGGTTCTGTTTGCAAACTCCCAGGAAAAAACCCAGCATATCTAAATACTCTTTAGAAATATACCACGTTACAGCATTTTGCACTTATTTCCTGCAGGGAGAGGGAGTAATATGTGTGTTTACTTAGTCAAAATGCTTAATTTAATAGAAAACAGAACCAAAATTGTAAATTTGTAAGCTATTGCTCTCTGAGAACAAGATATATGCCAAACGAGTTTTGATGAAATGCTTAAGAGACAGTCAAGTTGACAGCAACATGAAATTATAACCTTTTGTCATCATTGTTGAGATTTATTACTTATTGGCTATGAATATTGGTTGCTTTATCTCCTATGTGAATATATCCTTAGATTTTGCAAAACTCCATTTCTGATTCATTCTCTTGAAATAAGCTACACTTGATCTACTGGTAGCGTTTACAGAAATATGCTGTGATCGTAGAAGATAAAATGAACAATTTAACTAGTATCTAGGGTGCCTTTTCATTGATGAGACCATAAGGTTTACCTAGTATTCCAGTATTTTAGGTTACGGGTCAACTTGTTAACACCATGGTAGTATGAAGTGGATTGCACTGCATTTGCCTCCATATTATAGTTTTTATGTTCTACAGTCAGTGAATACTTAAAACAAGTGTTAAATTACCTCATATTTGCTTCATGTCTTACTAGCATATATGAGTGACTAGGGAGATAAATGAAACTTTTTTTTTCCCCACTGGATGTTTTGTCATCCCTCCAAAGCAACTGATTTAAATTTCTTCTGATTAGTCCTTTGGAGCTCAGGTACTTCAGTTACTTTTGTTTCAAGTTAACATCTCAAGAGTTGGAAATGTTCATAAAATTTTGTTCCTTTTCAAAAACTTTCTGAAGTATAAAATGTTACTAATATTTCAGAACAGATAGTTTCAAGTATCTTTATTGAATAAGTAGAATGACATAGTTTCAGGGAAATGTTAGTACTTGTTTGGCAGAGAAATAGGTACCTTAGCCTGCAGCTGGTCACATATCCTTTTAAATCAGATTTGAGGCCTTTTATCAGAGAAGATAAGTCTTGTGAATTGTGCTGTATTTGGCTATAGAGTAAGTGACTGAGTTCGTAGCAAGGTTGAAAGTTGGGCCACTTTTTTGTGTCCTGAATTATGGTTGAAGGAGTCTAACTTCCATTACTCTTTAAAAATCTTAACCTAGAAATCTAATAGTTAAAATTGATACAAATATTATAAATATACAGATAAAATGTAACTAGGCACTTTTTTGTTTTCTCTACTTGATAAAATAATTCTCTAGAATAGAAGGCTTTATATTAGGTTTCCTGTTCGCATATATATAGTCCTACTATAATTTGCCTTTACAAATTCTTTCTACATTCAGCATGAATTTACATTTAAATGTTACAAAGGTCAGTCGTTACACAGTGTCAAATAAAGCAATAATAATTCTTAATACCATTCTTGTCCCTAAACACCAAATAATCATTTCGTATAGCATAGAAGAATCAAGTATTTAGAGCTCATCTGTGTGATTGCACAGGAGAAGACAACTAGTAAATTAGCGTTTCTGCAATACATTAGTCTTGATGAAAAGCTATTCTCAGCGCCTGGAAAAAGTGGTGAACAAGTAGAATCAAGTTCTTAACAATGTTTTACATTTTGTGTCATGTTCCAGTTGTTGTCAGTCCCTGTCTAGTGTGCACTGGACAAGTCTTGCATATGAATGCCTGTTTACATTTGAGCATTTCTTTCTTCCAGTCAGTGGCAATGGAAGATGCAATGCTGCAGTGCCTGGCAGTTCTCCTGGGCTGCGTCAACTACTTAGACTCCTTTCTAAAGGTCTCCATGCCATACTCAGGCAGTACACAACTCTCTCAATCTGAGTGATGAACATCCTCCAGTTATGTGCTTCACTTGACCATAAACAGATGAGTGTGCAGTGTTTAACTAAGTTAGTATTTAATAAGAGGTGCTAGCACTAAAACGTAACCAAAGAGAAGAGTTTATAATTTGATTCTTGATCTAATCCTCACTGCCTAGATGAGGAGTGTGCCTTGAATTGCAACTTGAGCAAGGTACTAGTTAGTTATTTTTGTCTTTTGCTTATCTGAAACGTCAAGATTTTAAGATAATTGCCTATTTTGGTCATGATGTTCAGAATTTTTTAAAAGAATACACTTTTATGTTAAGTATTCCTACACAGCACTGTAATTTGTGATTTCAGGTATGAGAGAGATGGCAATATATTCCCTTTATCAAATCCTCTATAGCTATAATAGGGGGTGAAAGGAGGAATTGTCTCTGTCAAGGACAGAGCAGGTGCTTTGGGAACTGGGGAATGGGGTAGAAGAGTATTGCTGTGGGAAAGCCTCAGTGAGCACAGAACTGTAGGGTTCTTTCCTCTGGGATCAAATGCCCTGGTTTGTCTCAAGGGGAGAAGATTTGATGGAAACCTTGTATTGTAATCCCTGAAGTAGCCAAAATTCTGTTGTCTTTCTGTCAAAAGGCAAAATTTAGGCTTAAACAACTATGTTTCTAATGTTAAGGTTTTCATAGCATTATGACTTGTCTGTATATAGTGAATATTACTCTGCTGTATGAAACTCATATTTTAATTCCTATTCAATATTATGTGGGTATCTAAATGTGGCTGCTGTAACATCTCAAAATTATACTTGTTAGTCTGTTTGTGAATTAAGTGGAAAGGTAACAATTTCTCTCTGCTTTTAAGGTAAGACATGCGTTGTCCTGCACACCAGAAACAAGCAAAGCATTGTTACGTCTTTGGAGTTACAATACACAATTTGTAAATGTACAGCTTTTAAGTTGCTTGTGTCTGTAAAAGATGAGTGTAGGACTGTGCTGAATATTCAGCTGGCAAATGTTTCATTCTGTTGACTGTTGAAGTGTTACTATAATTTTGTTCTGCTGGTATCCTGGCGCACTGTGGTAGATGCTGATTCTTTCTCCCCCATCCTCCCACTGGTACTTGGCAAAGTAACAGCGCATCTATCTTTGCATGAGATACCGATCAAATCTTTATTTCCTCCTAGCTAACACAAAGAAGGATATATACTGCATATTTTTTTTCTCCAAAAATATTCCATCCAGTGCTAGGAGTATAAACTAGGTTAGATTTCCTTAACTGTTACAGATATGTCGCAGAAAAATCTCTTCACAAAATACTGAACTAGCACATTGCTTAGCTGAGAGGAAATAATATGTTAAAATGTCTATGGAAAACTTAAATAATTATTAAAATGTCCTTTGAGATCCTAACTTAGCTGAGCATAGAGATACAGTGACAACATAAGCAAACAAAATAGTTGAATTATTTGGACCAGAGTTGGCAGCAGCACTTAACTGCTGTGATGCGGTTAATGATCCTACTATATGTACTCAGTATGAGAAACAGCTTGCTTCAGATAGGCATGGAGATATGGCTCTGTTTTCTCTTTGGCAGTAAGGTGGCATATATCATATGTTTAGCGGTGAGATAAACTTACCTGTCTAAACGATAATTAAAATATAAAGTTTGAGCTAGCCTTGTAGTTGGACATCTGGTGGAAGTAAGTCATGTTTGGTACACAGATGTCCTGCAAGTTCTAACTTGGTATTTGCGAATTCAGGAAGTTTTTCTGAAGGGGAGAAAATACCAGTATTCTGAATTAGATGTAGATTCCTCCTGATTCTGTGTATATAGATGAACAGAATCATTCTTTCTAGTTTACAGATTTCTTGTTAACAAGTAAACTGAGCTCAGATACTTGCATCTGGGTTGTCCCGCTTAAAGCTTCCGAGAATTATTGGGGTTTTTTAACTATGATAGCCTTCATAGCCTTCAAGAATTTTAGTTCTTCTTTCTTTGCCTAGTGATTATTTCTATTTAACTGCTTAAACACCAGAGTTTGGGATAAAGATGCAAAGGAGAAGGGAAAAACAAACCTGGAAAGCACTGTTGTATAAATAACCTGTTGTTACGTGCAAAATTTTAAGCTGTCTTCAGTGTTGCCTTGTTAGACATCCATGACTATCCCAGATCTCTCTGTTCAATAGCAAGAGGAGTTCTCATCAGCCAGGACTCGGAATCTTGAGCTTCTTGGCATACAAAGTTAAGTGACAGGAGGGGACTTGAATGTGAAGGAAAGCTAGAGCAAGTAGAACAACAAAGGATTTCTAAACGGAAGCCTGTGCTAAAGCTGTAGGAGTCAGAAACCTGTGCTTTGGGTAGCAGTCTCTTTACCCAGAAAAGAGAAACAGCTTGCTAAAAATCATGAGTACTAGTCAAGTTATTTGATACTTCACAGAAATCGCATTTTGAGCTTCAGGAGCTTTGTAGATACTTTTTTATGGATTTCTGCAGTCTACAAAAATTCATAATACTGTTGGCCAGGTGGAAAGCTGCTTTCAACTGTGCCATTTTCTAATCTGTGTCCTTTCAGATGAATGCGTGTAAATCACACCTACTGCTAATGTTCTTCTGGTTGTATATTTGTCCTTGGCACTTGTACATATTTTTTGATACAAATAAGGGTTCAAGTGATCATGTAGAGAAGATGGATGCTCTGATTCCCCCAGAAAAGTTAATTTGAAACAAGGGTCACCAACTGTGTGTTCACTGCAATCTTGCCATCCCTTTATTTTCTCATTGGGCCAACTACTAAAAACCCGTTATGTTCAATATTGCTAAGGTATTTCCTTTTTAGTAGCTATAAGCTATATATGAATGTTTATAACCACAGGTGTTCAGGATTTAAAAATCTTCCCAAAGGCAATATGCCGCCTGAATAATTCTGGTGATCTTGCAAGAGTAGTTTATTTTACATTCTGTAATATCCATGCTAGATTCTAACTATCTACTAAGCTTTAGTGTAACCGTGGAAAATCATGATGATCATAAAATATGGTATTGCCCAAATTACCTCCATATGTCAGTGAGTTTCATGGCCTTAGCAGAGTTTTAATTAAAACTTGTGTAAGAACTGATTATCTCTTTAATGATGTTGAATTCAGTTTTCATTGAATTTAAAATTGAGGCTCATTAATGAAATGAGACTGAAAGCTAGGACATGAGGTTCAACTTAACTTTTTTTTTAAACTTTCATCCATGTATTAGAAGTGTTTTTAATACCTTGCAAAGGTCATGTGCTGCTCCTCTTCATAATGTAGTTATTTTGACATCTTAAAATTTGGTGTTGCACAGTGTGCAGTCATTCAGCACTAATGCATGTATTACTTTAACTAAAATTTTTAGACACGATGCAAGTACAATCTGTAAATAAACAAGTATTAACTTTCAACTCTTACGAAACTATAGCTAAGAAGTTACTAATAATGTTGTGAAACTAACTTACTGAAACTTTTCTCATTTTGGCCCTTTGAATTGATACTTAGTTTTTTGGGGTTTTTTTGGTTTTGTTTTTTTTTTTGCTGTTATGCAATTTTCTACATTTCTGTCAGTGCATGAGGATAGTTACATGAAGCCTTCATCTGACTGATTTGTAGATTGTGAATTTCTGTAAAACTATCCAAATACTTTCAAGGTTAACTGTTTCAATCCCTGAATTAAGATAAAGCTTTTAAGGATACAAGGACTAAATAAACCTGCATGATGTAAGTCATAACATATTTCAATAAAAGTAGACATTATTAATATAGCTTTAGAAACAATTTCCTGCTACAGACTTTTTCTGTATATTGTTGTCTGTACTATGTTTTCAGTAAAACATATCAATTTTTTTAAAGTGAACTGTTTTAAATGAAAAATTTCAGTTGTCGTAGGTAAAGTTACCCTCTTTTTTTGCCTTGTAATACGGAGGAGTTCAAACACAAAATTCTAGGTTATGCAAAGAGATTCCAGATAAAGCTATTTGTGTTAATAGGTGTTAATGCAGAAAACAAATATTGAGGAAAAGATGATGTTTTTATTATTATTTATATTCTAAATGTTTCAGGCAATGTCTTTCCAGTTAATTAAAGGAAAACTGACTTGTATATGGATGAATGCTCTCTGTTCCATGATTCATCCCAAAGACATTGCTTAAGGAATTCGATCTCCTGGGTATAAAACAGTCCTGAAGATTCTTCAGTAAATCACAATTAATTTCATAATAAAACTGATTAACTGAAACAGTTGCTGTTATGAGCAGCTCGGAAGGCAGATTTTTGTGTGGAATTTAGTACATGAATTCAGCAAACCAACAAGCAACTTAAAGTAAAACATAAGTGACTTTTCAGATTATGCTTTCTCAAACTTTTGTTAGCTTTTTAGAATCCTGTTTAAAAAAAGCTTTCTTGTTTATTAACCCTTGAACATCTCGGGTTATATGGATAAAAACAGGGAAACAGGAAGTGGTTTATAGACCCTTGAAATCTACCTTAAATGTCTGCCAAATCATTTGGCAATACTGTAAGTTTGAACAGATACCCAACCATTTGCAAGTTTTGTTACTTCACAATGAAATATGCAGGGCCACTAATTATGATTCGCATAGTATATGCTTACACATATTTTACTTTTCTCTCTAGGAGCTGAGAGAAATACATAACAAACAGCAACTACAGAAGCAAAAGAACTTGGAAGCTGAGAGGCTGAAACAGAAGGAACAAGAAAGGAAGACAGTAGAACTGGAAAAGCAAAAAGAAGCTCAAAGGTAACAAATTGCTTTAATTTAAGCCCTTTCTGTAGAGGTGTTAAGAGTGCAAAGCATTTACAAACAAGTAAAATAAACTTTGTATTCCCAGGAGCATAATCTGATCTTAAAATATCACTGAATGACAAAAATACCCAAGACATCAACCAAGTTTCATTTTTGTGCAGATGATCCCTTTTAAAACTAGGAGACTCTCTTGATTTATCCTTGAATGAGGAGTGTGCAGTGGAGATGAGCTTCTACAGCTGTCTGTGACTCTTATCTGTCAGTGACACATACAGATTTGAGCAGTGTTATTTAAGTGTAGTGAACTTCTGCACCTAGAGAGGTTCTTGAGCAGTGTAACTAACTAGTTCTGTCTTTTATACTAACATAAAATACAGAGCTAATGTTCTTCTGCTACACACTTGGAAATTTGTTTTCTATGTGTAATTATATTTATGTAAAATGAATGGTATATAGGCTAGTAGCCAGTTCTGTTCTGATATTGTTTATCAGTAGCTATTTGATTTAATTTTTAGAAATTGTGGGGGTTTTATACTCTTAATGTAGACAGATATTGATCAAGACATGAAAACAAAGGCCTGGGTACAAGAGGTCTCAAATTACTGGTTATAGCATTACATGGCCTGTGACTAAATTGTTAGCCTTTGTTACTACTTGGTGAGCCAAGCTAATTTTTGCATTTCAGGCAAAACCAAAACAAGGTCTCAGTGAAAAATGTATCTTCAAACAGAAATTGTATACATAGAAAGCAGTTAAGTTTAGATAATTCTTAAAGGCATAGGTTTTATGTAAATGATTTAAAACTCTTAAAGATCAACTTCAGAAATAGCGAACTTTCTAAGAAAACAACTTTCTATCACACTAAATATGGTAATTATGTTGGAACTTTCCTTGAAAACAAGAAGTCTGCTGAGGTACTGGAAGTATAGGAACACTAAAAATACTCTATTTCAGAATATTAAATAAAATACCCCACTTCCTTCCAGAAAAATGGAAATTTAAAAAACAGATTTAAAAAGGGAAAAACTTCTGCCATGGGAAACTTCATGTCTAGCTTTTCATGCTAGTTCAGACTTTGTTGGTAATGCAAAACTTAATGCTGCCCAAATATTCAAGCTTCTAAATAATGGTAATTGGTATACCTGATAATGAGCAATCTGCCAGTCTTACTGATTTCCAACAGACACCAAAATGAATCAGGTAAACGATTAATACTCGTAACCTGGATACTACCCCATAATGATTATGGAAGTATGCTGCCTTTCAATAGATCTAGTGAAAGCAAAGAACAAAGAATAATCTAAGATCATAATTATGTGCATTTTAACCTTTGGCTTAATGGATAACCACTGTCACTTCATACTGAGAACCATCTTAACAAATTTTTGTTGGTAATTGTGCACTGAATTGTGGACATAACTGAGCAAACAAAGATACAGACATATGTATTTGGGGATGGTAGAGGTCTTTTTGAAGACCTCTTATGGCTAATTAGTGTTAATGATCTTAAGGCTAATTCCATGCAGACTTACATGGTTGTGGGAGTAGTTCAGAGGGGAAGAGAAAACCCTAGGTTTGAGTAAAAGGAACAGAGCTTACTCTTGGTGTTTGGGATAAGAACTGCATGAGTGGTATAATGCAGTTGGTGAGAGAAAAATGGGAAAGAGACAAGTATAGGTAAATCCCAGAGTAGAGATCACATTCCACAGTAATTAACAGATCAGGAGTCTTGAAGTAAGGAAAAGAGCAGAATGTCAAGTTTTCTGTTCCTAACCCCAAGCTGTGGCGCTCACACCTAGGCTTGTATTTCTTCAGCTTCCCTGTCTCTTTCTTACTCCATTCCTGTTCTTCAACTCATGATACTAGCTTTCCTAGCAGTCAAAGAAGAAATTTCTGCAGCTTCTATGGAAGGAAAACAGAAATCACACATACCCCACACCCCTTCAAGATACATTTTCGGTTGCTCTTCTCACTTCAGCAGTTAGAACAAACTTTGTTTATAAGTATGGGAAGACTTAATCACTTTACTAGAAACATAATTAAAACCTCAAATTTCCCATTTAAAGCCCATCTGACTGAACCCACCAGGTAAGACATCACTCAAGCCAAAAGAAAATTAAGCTCTATATGCCTATGTGGTGCAGCTTCGATGTTGCAACAAAACTGCTGAGTAGTTGGCTCTGAATGCTTTGCAAATGAACATACAAAGGACAAATTCAGCAATTAAAATAGGAAGTTGTCAGAACAGTAGATTTATTAACTTGTTAGATGACTTTACATTGAAGGCAGAAAAGTGTGGCAGTGTTTCATAGAGGATGAAGTGATATCCTTCACACTGGTGTCTTAACCTCTACTCATGGTATACTGATGTGGAATATTGAAATGGTATCAGCAATTTCATTGAGAACCAAAGATTTTTTTTGAGCTTGTAAGTTAGTAACTGCCATCTTAAACAGATACTGGGTACCTTGGCATCTCTCAGAAAATATTCTTGTCAACTCAAAACTTACATTGATAGAGATGAGATTTTTGCCCTCTGGTGCCAACCTACTGTTTGGAAAGTGGATTTTTTTCCCCTTAAGGAATTAATTTTTTTTTCCCCACAGTTTTTGCCAGGAATTCCTGTTGTCCTTGGACAAAATACGCTCTATATAGTAGGCCAAGTCTATAATGACCAGCTTGTTGTCATGCATTTGTCACTAATTTTGTCAGTATGAAGAAAGTATAGAAGTGGAATAGGTCATGGAACAAAATAAAGCGCACTGTGCATCTGTTATAGCCCTTTAGTGTTACCTTTACTGGTGCAAACTGTTTCTAGAAGAGAATATTTATTCTTTTCTTCTGTTGTCTTGTCCTCTGTCAGAGGGGAAGGACTTGTTAGCTTTCACAGTTTGGAATGTGAAATTTTCTGAATAGCTCTGCAAGAGTGCTGTATGAAGCTTGCAGGTATTTTTACTCCTTGCCCCTCAAGAGAAGGATCAGGACTACCATATTTTCTGATTACTGCTTCTTTTTCTTTTTGTTTTTGCCGATTTGGCTATTTTGAGTCTTACCTAGGGATGTTTATGGCTTTGAGAAAATAAGCAGAACCAATTTATTTGATCAGTATTCCTGACTTCATCCCGCATTTTAGAGCTGAAGTCAGTGCTGAGCAGATAAAAATTGAAGTGTATAATTTGCTGCTTATTGGGTTTCAGGGAAAATGTTATGGTAAGAGTTCATTATTGAAAATGTCCGGTGATAGCTGTAGCTGATATCTGCAGGCCTAGATTAAATAAAAGAGGCAAATGAAAATGGTAACTAGCAATGCTGTTATAATGGGATACTCAGATTGCTTGAATTAGGCTGCTTGGGAAGAGATTTTCGAAAGCAGCCTTACGGTTACATGGAACTGAAAGGCTTATCTCTGGGCTCTTGGATGCCGAGGAGTTTTGTTTCTTCAGCCAAGGGAGTTTTTGGGGTTTTTTTTCCTCTTTTTCTTCCTCCTTTCTCCATACAGTTCATCACTTAGAACATCTGCATAGGATTTATAAATCTCATGGAAAACTATGAAAAGAGAACACACAAATATTGTTGAGACTCAGATGTTGCCGAGTTGAAGAGGTGGGAATGAAAGTGCAAGATACGGAATGTTATCAAGCTTATAATTTTCAGAGCATTGTGTGCTGAGTAAAAGGCTGTTCTAAGATACCTGTGTGAAGTTTCATACAATAATTAGAAAAACACAGGTAAATATATTTATTTTCATGTCATTGTAGAGGAAAAGAGATCACAGCCTCAAAGAAGGTAAAGTTTAGCATTTACAAATCTCTGAAGAACTCTACCAAGAAAAAGTCATGTTGAATGTCTTTTCCCCATCTTACATTCAGCTCCAAAACATAACTAGGTTTTCATTTCTGTATGCTCAGGTTGCTCTGTACCTCTTCTCCGTGGAATCGCACTGTAGAGGTACAGAACTGATGTGTGAGTTAAAATAAAAAAATTATATTAAAGGTAGTTTTTTAAATGCAAAGAGAAAGCAATTCAAGGTAATGGAGGCCTGCAGTTAGCAGTAGGTTACATGAAATAGTGTTCTCTCACTTGTCTGAGAGTCACAGCTCTTTCTTTGTGAATACATATGGGGTCATAGCAAATCTTTCTCAATATTTCTCCTTTGCCCTCTAGGAGTCATTGTGTAAGAAGATGATGTGGAGTGATTGATAACTCACCAAAATAAAATTAACAGCTCTTACAGGGTATGCAAAAGCCATAAAGAATACGCTTTATACTATAGGTCACACATAAGGACGGCTAGCTTCTATGGTCTTTTGTTTGACTGCCTTAAAAAAAACCACCTTAATTGTCCAACAGGCGAATCCAGGAACGGGATAAACAACGGCTTGATCGAGCGCAACCAGAAGAAGAACTTCAGTGGCAAAAAAAAATTCAGGAAGATGAGAAGCAAAAAAGGGAAGAAATAACCAAGAAGAAGGAAAGTGAGGATAAGGGGAAGCAGGAAATGCAAGAGAAACTGAGTAAGCTTTTCCAACCACATCAAGAGCCGATCAAACCAGCTGTCCAGGCTCCTTGGTCAAATGCAGGTAGAGTAAAAAAATGAAGAAATGCAGTTGCACATGCCTCTTGAACAATTCTTTTCTGTTTTGTCTTCCCATTTAATACAGAAGAGTGTCATGTTTCAAGATTGGGTTGCTAGTGTTATTAAAGTAAGTCATGTGTGGATTGAGCTCTAGACTCCAAAAAGTTGTTCTTTTATACTTCACCATTCTTCCTCAAATATGGTGTTTAGCGGAGTGTAAAGCATAGTTGGTAAGACTCACAGTGCCAACTGAAGAGAGAATCTTAGCTGTAAGTTGTAAGATCTTGATGCAAGATGTCAAAAATTATTTCTGTACTTTTCTTTACGGTTCTTATGCTGGAGTGGAATAGATGCCTTGGAATTTTTTAGAGTAGTAGTAATATGTCATTTAGTTATTCTTTTTCCTCTTTCCCCTTCCTCATGCGTATTGTTTACTGAACAACTGACCTGAAGTCCAAGATTTAATCCCTTTTTTTACTGCTGCGCACACTATCACTTTCAGCAGAGAGCTTTTTCTTTGTATTATAACCTGTTATTTGCCCGTATTGGGAAATCATGATTCCCCCTTAAGTGGCTTTGATACATACACAAGAAAACTGACTGGGAATGTAATATTTGTTAAAATATTTGATCAAAGGATTCCATAAAGGGGAAATTACCTTCTGTCTTTTAGCCCAAATCTAGAATTGACTTAGTCTAGTATGTCCTCTTGCTAGGTTTTATTTGTGCAGAGTAGCAGAGGGCACTTTTGTGACCAAATAGGCAAAATAGGAAGTGCATTATACAAGAGCAATTTGGCTTATATCTTTGGGATCTTTCTGTATTCTTCTTTTTCTAATAATGCATCTTTAGCATGTAACTTTTTTTAAAGCACCATCTGTAAGTGATCACTTTTCAGCCAATCTGTGCGTACTAGGACATTATGAAACGTCTTTCTTGGAAGTCTAGTCAGGCTGCAAATGAAGCTGCTACACAAGCGGGCTCTAGAAGTATTTGGGATACCATTGATATATGCAAGGACAGCACTTTTTAAATTAAACCTATTACTGCTCAGATTTAACCTACAAAATCATTGAAGCATTTGAGAAGTCCTATATGTTGCATCATAAGTAAATGATTCTTTCTATGAAAATAGTTGTATATATCATAAAAGCTAAAATACAGTAATATTTTACCTCATGTTTAGAAGAGAAAAATAGTAAGAAAATTGTATTTTAAAGAATTCATTTTCGTATTTCCCCTTGTGTAAATGAAGATTAATATACTTCCTACAGACAATGTAACGTTTGTTAATTCTTGTCTCCACTTGCGCCTCATTATTCAGATATTTAAAAAGAATGTGTTTTGATTTC